ACACAACAGAGCACACAGCACACACACCACACAACACACAGAGCACACAGCACACACCGCACACAACACACAGAGCACACACCACACACACCACACAACACACAGAGCACACAGCACACACACCACACAACACATAGAGCACAAAACACACACACCACACAACACACAGAGCACACAACACACAGCACACAACACACACACCACACAACACAACACACACACAACAGAGCACACAACACACATCACACAACACACAGAGCACACAGCACACACAGCACACAGAGCACACAACACACACCACACAACACACAGACCACACAGCACACACACCACACAACACACAGAGCACACAACACACACACCACACAACACACAGAGCACACAGCACACACACCACACAACACACAGAGCACACAGCACACACAACACACAACACATAGAGCACAAAACACACCACACAACACAGAGCACACAACACACACACAGCACACAACACACAGCACACAACACACACAACAGAGCACACAGCACACACACCACACAACACAGAGCACACAGCACACACACCACACAACACACAGAGCACATAGCACACACACCACACAACACACAGAGCACACAGCACACACAGCACACAGCACACAGACCACACAACACACAGAGCACACAGCACACACACAACAGAGCACACAACACACAACACACAGAGCACACAGCACACAACACATAGAGCACAAAACACTCCCACCGCACAACACACAGAGCACACAACACACACACCACACAACACAGAGCACACAGCACACACACCACACAACACACAGAGCACACAGCACACACAACAGAGCACACAGCACACACAGCACACAACACACAGAGCACACAGCACACACACAACAGAGCACACACACCACACAACACACAGAGCACACAGCACACACAACACACAACACACACAGCACACAGAGCACACAGCACACACACCACACAACACACAGAGCACACAGCACACACAACACACAGAGCACACAACACACACCACAACACACAGAGCACACAGCACACAAACCACACAGCACACAGCACACAGAGCACACAGCACACACACCACACAACACAGAGCACACAACACACAACACACAGAGCACACAACACACACACAACAGAGCACACAGCACACACACTACACAACACACAGCACACA